TTAAACAATTTGGCTGGAAGACTTATGGGAACAACTTATTGCAATATTAAATTTCTTACAGAATCAAAAGAAACTTATTTAAAACTTATTTAAAACAAATGCCAAGATTTATGGCAAACTATGATGATAATTGCAGAAAAAAAGTGATAGCACTTAAATACTCATTTCCAATGTTCTACAAATTGGTAAAAGTCAATATAGTTATGAGTATCATGATTCAGCTATATTCCTACTAATTGTCTATGTAACAATTTTTTATCATGCACCAAAACAGGGGCCAAATCACTAAATTTATTTATAGATTTGCATACATTTTTACTTTTGTACTTTGGTTCATTTAATTTTTCAAATTTTTACTGGACACATATTACACATATTTATGAGGTGAGCTGGGGCATGTTAAAATATATATGTGTACAATATGAAATGATAAGATCAGGGAAGCTGGTATGCACACCATCTTAAACATCTCTCATTTCTCTGTGTCAGAAATGTTCAAAATCCTCTGAACTACCTATTTTAAAATATAGTATTAATTGTTGTCAACCATAATTCTGCTGCTGTGCTATAGAACATTGCAAGTTATTTTTCCTATTCAGATACACTTGTGTGCCTGTTAAGCATCCTTTCTCCACACCTTCTCCCTAATGTGTCTATGAAAACAACTACTTAGCTTCCCCCTATAAGTGATTGTGGTATGTTAAGAGTTTGACTTATATTTCAATTTCATAATGCCCTTAACATGATGAATGTTGCCAGAAATGACAAGAATTCATTCCTTCTTATGAGTGTATTATAATCTATTTTATATGTATATCACATTCCCTTTTCCATTCGTCTGTTGATGAATACCTAGGTTCATTACACATCTTGGCAATGGTAAATAATTCTGCAGCAAACATGGTAGTGCATATGCCCCTCAAACATACTGATTTTCTTTACTTTGGACACAAATCCAGAAATGCTGGATCATATAATAGCTCTATTTTTCATTTTTTAGAAACTGCTTATAATGGTTAATTTGAATTGTCACCTTAATTGGATTAAGAGAAGTCAATGATTAAAAGGCTTATGGGTGTGTTAATGAGGGTGTGTCTGTGAATGACTGGCATGTGGGATAGCCAAGTGAAATGGAGAACCCTCTCCTAAGTGCAGGTAGCACCAACCAATAGGATGATGGGTCAGCTGGGATAAAAGTTGGAACAACAAGGAAACAATAGCAGAAGCAAGCTCCATTCTTGAATGACTTCTTGATTGCTGCTGCATGGTCTGAGGATATGGGACTCTCACTTCTTCACTCTTCCAAAGCAGACTCTGCCAGTGATTCTCCAGAAGCCTTTGGTCTGGGACAAGGGTGGCACCATTTATCCCTCTTGTTCAGCCTCTTGGACTGCACATCTACTGGTTCTTCTAGCTCTCCAGCCTGCAGATGGCCACTGTGGGCTATCCTGCTTCTGGTAGCATAAGCCAACCTAATAAATCCCCTTTTTATAATTATACTTCTTGTTGATTTTGTTCCTCTAGAGAACTCTAATACATTGCTGTACTCTTTTTCATAATGGCTGAACTAAACAATATTCCCACCCACAGTATATGAGTTTCTCCTTCTCAAAGCCTTGCCAGAATTTGTCATTTTCTTGTATTGAAAATAGTTACCTAATTTGGGAGAAGCGAAACACCATTATGGTTCACATATGCATTTCCCAATGATTAGTGATGTTGGACGGGTTTCTTACATACTTGGTTATTTGTATATCTTCTTTGGAGAACTTGTTTAGATCATTTGTCTATTGTTCAATCTAATTATTTGGTTTTTCTGCCAAGTAGTTTGCATTCCTTATACATTCTGGATATTAACCCTTATCAGAATAGTTTGCATATGTTTTCTCCCATTCATTAGGTTGTCTCTTTTAACTCTTAATTTTTTCTTTTACTCTACAGAAGCTTTGAAGTTGGATGTAACTCTGTCAATTTTTACTTTTTTATCCTTTGCTTTTGAGATCATATCCAAAATATCTTTTCCCAAAACAATAACCCAAACATTTGCCTGTTCATTTTCTTTGGTAGAATTATACTTCATTTTTGTTGAAATGACCTTATTACATGCAAATAGTTTTCAAATTACAATGCTTTTAGTCAATTAAGATATTTATTGTTAGAAAATTACATAATTTATCTGGGCACTATCATTGTCCTGTAATCTATTTTCTCTGATATTAATTTACCCACTCTTGTTTCCTTGTTTTGGGGGAATCCATAATCTATAATTTGTATTTTCAGTATTTCAAATTTCAACCTATTCATAACATATTTAAAGGACAATTTTTGTAAGTAGTTTTATTTTTCCATAAAATATAATAACCTTTATTTGCAAAGGTTACATTGTACTTAATGAAATGTATTATATTTATAACACATTTATTATATTTATAATACATTATTATATCATAAGCCTACTTTCTCACTGCTTTTTTCATTTTTTGCATATCATATCTTTTCCACCTCTTTTTTCTAATTTATCTTGTAATTTTATATTGAGATTGGGTTTATCAATATGAACTTTAAAGTTTCATATAAACACACATATCCATTTAACACATTTGTGTTATCAAAATTTGTGTGTGTTTGTGTGTGTACACACGTTTTTCTGGCTTRGGCATAGAGTGATAGTAGAAGCAGTGACACCCAGCCAGTAGGAATTATCAGCATTCTCTGCATACACAGAGTAGATTCCAAACACCATTCTCCATTTCCCAGTAATAGGAAACATGCTGTGTAACTGACACATGACTAAAGTCCAGTTGACGAAGTAAACTGGAATAATGAAAAAAGAAAACCTGGGAAGAATCAAAACCATTAAATAAACAAAGGGCATATATAGATTAAAAGGGGGTAGATTTAAGTCAAAGTATTTCAAAAATTTGACTTTGTAATTAAAGATCTCACAATGTAAGCTCCAGGTCTAGAAGGTCTAAGGAGTAAATTGCAATAAAGATTAAAAATATTGTGAAAAAAAATGTTAATCTTAAAATCGTCTGGGAATACAGAAAGAGCATTTCGCAACAAATTTTTGGAGGCAGTACAAACCAAATATCACAACCAGACAACTATATGATACAGAAGTAAAATATTTATTATGATTACAATTCCAAAGTCTTAAATAAAATATTAGCAAATTAAATCCAATATAAAATTTATCATAATAAATGGAAGTTAATTATTATAATGGAAAAAATGACTCACTACATCAAAGACACACACACAGCATAATGTCTGAAAATAAAACCTTCCTTGAATTAATAAATGTCATTTATTAAAACTACAGACACTATCACTTTTAGTCTTGACATTGAAATTCTCCCTACAACTAAAGAAAATCAAAGCACAAAATAAAGAAAGAAAAAAACATGGATGAAATTGATGAACTATTAACTCATATTTAATGTCATTTGGGAGCTTCTCATTATTACTTATGAAATAAAAATGAAAAAAAGGAAAAAAACTCCTAAGGATAGGAAAAAAGGGAAAAAATGAAGCTCTTTTGTAAATAATATGTATGTAATACATAAAAAGTCAAAAGAAACAGAAACCTACTACTATTATTAACTATTTAAAATTCTTATTTGCAGTATTGATATATACAGTTACATACACAAATATATGGTTTATTTCTATACATTATAAAATAAACTTTAAAAATACCATTTTACATAGCGTGAGTAAACCTTAAAAATATGCAGACTTGGGCTAGGATTGTGGCTCAGTGGAAGAGTGCTTGCCTAGCATGTGTGAGGTGCTGGGTTTGATTCTCAGCACCACATATAAATAAATGAATAAAATAAAGGTTCATCAACATCTAAAAAAATTTTAAAGCATATATGCAGTCTATTTATAATTGAAAATACAAAACATGACGGAGAACAATCAAATTAGACAAATACATACAAAAAATCACATTCATAAATTAACTTGATATTATTGAAATTTCATTTCACTCAAAAATTGACTTGTAGATTGAATATTATCTATTACAAAATCCCAGGAAGCTGTTTGTAAAATTGGACAAGACAATGTACAATATTTACATATTAAAAAATGAAACAGGCAAAATTATTAAGAAAAGCAAAAGCAGAAAAATACCAAATTTCAGAGACTTATGCTGAAATGATGATAATTAATGTAGTGTGCCATTTGTGTAAAAGTAACTATATGATTTGGAAAAAAGTGAAATACATATCCTAAAAATATTTACCTGTGTACTCATTGATCCTATGCAGATGACTACCAAAGCCTTATGAAACAATGTACATGTCAAAAGTGTTGTAAAATATGTGATATTACAACCATATAAAGACTCAGATGATCATTATAAATGTGTATGTCCATGTGTAAATATTCACATACTTTAAATTTACTATCTTTAGAACCAAAGTGAATATTCACTGTATTCACAATTGTTCSTGCTGTCTAGATTTAATTTTGCAATGTACATCCTTTTTAAATGACATAATGTCCTTTTTCTGAAGGTTTTATATATACATATGGATGCCTATATAGCCATGAAGTTTTCTGGCTTTTATTTTTTTATTTCTTTTTTTTATTTTTTTGTATTCCAGTTTAAAATTGGTACAAGGTCAATGTTAGCATGATCTCATGTAAGACCATACATTTAAATGTATATATTTTGTAAGAGTCCTGTAAATGGTACACTCCATTTTGTATTCCAAAAATTTGGGGCACTGTTTTGTATTGTTTTGTTCTTCAGTTTTTGTTTTAAAATAATTACATATAATTCCTACATTACCTAAAAAAAATTAAAAAAAAAATGAAACATTGTTCTCAAACTAAAACACTCCTTAGCATGGTAAATTAGAACACAAACAGAATTTCACAAAGGAATGTACATAAATTGATCTGGACCATAGTACAGTAAAAATAAAGCATGGATAAATTTTATAAAATTGATTTCTTAATTACGTGTGTTTCTGTAACATCCTTACGGTTGGTGTTTTTGTCAAACTTCTCCGGCACTGTAATTTGCAGAAGTGATGATTTAGAGCCTGCAGCAAGAAAAAGCACAGGTCAATGTTCCCCAGTGGGGAGTAGAATCTTCAGTCTTCACTTGTCTCCTTTCCCTTCATCACCTTTTAAACTCCCAAGCCCCAGCATTTGCACATACTCCAAGCTCCAAAACTACACCTTGCTGATCCCAGGTAGAAGGTCCTGTGAGAGCAAGAGATTTGCTACCACTATCCAGAGACACTTTGGGGCCTGTTGACCTCAACCCTGAACCTAAGACCCCATCCCAGGGTCCTGACCCCATGCAGACTCTCTCTTTCCCGCACCTCCACAGGAGATGCACCTCTTCTTATAGAGGTCACACAAATGAGGGACAAGTATCCAGGGTTTGCAAGGAGCCTTCTCACCACCAGGGCTCAGGGGCCCTCAAAGATCAGAGCCTTGAAACAGGTTTGGCTCTGCTGCATCCTTCACCAGTCTGTCTGAGCTTTCTGGAGCGAGGAGGCTGAAGCTCATCTTGCTAAAGGTCTCTGCTAAAGGCTGCCCTCGCATCCAGCTGGGCCCTTTACTTACTCTGGCCGCCAGAGGTCGGCCACGCCAGGCCTGAGAGGATTATCAGGAGAGACAGCATTGTGTGGTTAACCGGCCTGGCCACAGTGATGGCGGTTGTAATGCAACGCCTGGGTCTCGCGGCCACCAACTGCTGGGCTCTTGCAGGGCGGGGTCAAAGGAATACCCGGGGAGCCAGACAGTAGTAAAGATTGGAGGGCGTGGCTGGTTTGTCCAGTCCTGAGCCAGCTCTGTGGATGGCAGAACCCAGCCTTCTACAGCCCCAGAGGTGCCTGTTCACATCTCCCCTGTACTTGCTAAAGCACACTGAGGCCTGCACTTCTCTGCACTGGTGCCTTTTCCCAAAAGCTTGACACTTACATTGTATTGCSGTGTAACGTAAGGGTTTTATAAAGCACATTTTCTCCTTTAGATATTTGATAGGGAAGTTTTTGGTAGTGTTTGTATTCCATAGCAGAGCTTTGTGGGCCAATGGGTAAACTACTGTATTAAAGGAAAATACAAACCTCAAGAAATTCACAATAGGTTTTGTAGCAGACAATTGCTTATTATAACTAAAATATGTCTGGAGATGTGGCTCAGTGGTTGAGTGCCCCTGAGTTCAATYCCCACTACTAAAAATAACAGACCTCCCCCCCMAAAAAAACAACTAATTATTGTGTTATGGTTAAGATGGATTCTAAGAAAACTAAGAAGTTTAAACAAAGTTCTATATATGAATGTATGTACAGTTCTCCTTTGGTGTATGTAGGGAATTGTTTTTAGGATCCTCAGTGGATACCAAATCTGTGAATGCTCAAGTCCCTTAAATAAAATGGCTAGTATTTTCATATAACCTGCAAACATCTACCTATATACTTAAAATCATCTCTGGATTACTCATAATACCTGATACATTGTAAATACATTGTAAATACAAATGTTGTGTAAATTGTTGTTATGCTATCATGTTTACAGAATAATGATAGGAAAAAAACACCTGATTTTGTTAAGAATATATATATTTAATATTGTAACTGCATGGTTGATTTAATCTACATATATGGAAACTGCAGAAACAGAGACCTACTACCTTTGTTTTATTCTTTTCATTGACTTATAAGCAAAAATTATAACTAAACAATGACCCTGTAAAAACAATTAAAAATCCACTTGTTCACTTTTGTACAGTTTTGTTTCTTAGAAAAACTTATGGCTTAAAGACATTAAATAAATAGCCAAAAGAAAACTTTTTCTCTATAAATACAGAGCTTACAAATGGAAAGACAGCAGAGTTAACATGGAGAGAACTTTCCTTTTATGGATTAATATTACAGTCATCTTGAATTGTTAAACCACGATGCAAAGAAAAGACCACCAACTCCAATTTTAAATCAGATTAAAACAAGCTTGTATTTGTGTACACTGGAACTGGCCAGGACTGTCTCGCCCCAAAACCCTGGGCTAGAGAACAGTACCCTAACTCTCTAGGAGCATATTTTTATAAAACAAAAAGTTGCAAAGGGAGGTGTCTTGAGAACTTACAGATAACAGGATTTTGACAAGCATAATACAAAGGCAGATATAGGAGGTTAATGATCTACATGGCTTAAAATTTCAAGGTAGGGAATAAATTTAGATCCCAACATCAGAATTTATGAGGCACTACTGAGGTTTCAGAGATGGTTGTTATCAGGTCAGGGGGAGTCAGGATTTATGAGGTGTCCCTAAGGTTTTAGAGAGAGTTGTTATCTGGAAAAGCCAGGCATGGGTGAGTTCAAGTCACGGGCAGGAATTCCAAACAAGTTTAGAAATTGTAGTAATTTATAGTAAAACAGAAATCAACTTTTCATGACTTTGTGACGAGATGGCTCCCAATCTTAAGATGGAATTAGGCTGGGATCATCARAATAATTTCAATTTTTTTTACAATTTTTAAATTTGTTTATAGTAACACTCTGTAACAAAACACAAAATTACCACCTTGACCATTTTTGAGTGTACATTTCRGAGGAATTAAATACACTCACATTGTTGTGAAACCATCCATCTCCAAAACTCTTTTCATCTTATAAAACTGAAACTCAAACAATAACTCTTCATCTTCCCATTTTTCCCCAAAGAATTTTCTTTCTGTCTCTGAATTTGAGTATTGTAGGGAACCTAACAATTAGGAATAAGACCATATTTTTCATCATGTGACTGGCTAATTTTATTTAGCATAATGTCCTCAAGTTTCCTCTATGTGATGAACCCAGCCTAATTCCATCTTATGATTGGGAGCCATCTTTGGGTCACAAAGTCATGAGAAGTTAATTTTTGTTTTACTATAAAGTACTGCAATTTCTAAACTTGCTTGGAAAGCCTCCCTATACCTTGAACTCACCCATTCCTGGCTTTCCCTGACAATCTTCTCTGAAAACTTAGTGGCACCTCATAAATTCTGGTTTTCCTTGACCAGATAACAACCCTCTATGAAACCTTAGCAGTGCCTCATAAATTCTGGTGTTGGGGTCTAAATTTACTCCCTAACTTGAAATGTTGAACATTTAGATCATTAACCTACTATCTGCATTTGTATTATGCTTGTCAAAATCCTATTATCTGTAAGTTCTCAAGACACCCCCATTTTGTAACTTTTTGTGCTATAAAACTATGCTCCTAAAGAGCTGGGGTACTGTTCTCTAACCCAAGGATTTTGGGAGAGACAATCCCGGCTGGAATTACAAGCTTGCTTGCATTTKATTTAAAATTGGAGTCAGTGGTCTTTTCTTTGAGTTTTGGTTTAACACATGTTGTACCACTGGCCAAAAATTCTTCTTTTTTAAGGCTGTTAAAAAAAATTGCATATATACATGTTTTATCACTTAGCCATAGGTAGATACCTCTTAGCTACTGTAAATACTATTTTTGTGAACAACTATGAACAAATATTTGAGACTCTGCCTTCAATTCTTTCAGCTGTATTCCCTGAATATTATCAGAGTAAAAATGCAATCCATAGAATGGGAGACAATCATTTCAAATAATAGATAAGAKATTTAGATCCAAAATATGTAGGATATTCTAAAAACTCAACAAGAAAGTACAAATAATGTGATTCAAAAATAGCTAAAGGATTTGAATGAAAATTTCTGTAAAGAAGATACATGTGCAAATAGCCATAAGCATTGGAAAAGTTGCTCAGCATTACTAATCTTTAGGGAAATGCAAACCAAAACCATAATAAATATCTTATATTCATATTCATTAGAATGACTCCTATAAAAAAACAAAAAAGACAGGGCAAAATCAGGCTACTCAAAGATGGGATAAATAAGAATCTGGCCACATCTTCTCTGAAACTCTTGTTTCTCACAGGCCTTGCAGAGAGCCCGGAGCATTGTATTTAAACTACAGAGCTCACTAACTAATTCACCTTCTTCTAGTTACCCTTGAGAATCCTCCCCATATTCCTGTTTAGGTTCCCTTCTCTTATCACTCTGAATCTCTCCATCTAATTCAGCTGGTTCTGACTCAGGTCTTCCAGCCCATCTCAGGCATGCTCTCTGCAGACAAAGAGACTGGGGAAGGCCGGCTGAGGGCTTTCTTAAAACTAGCAATCAGATCCACTGCTGACCATGTCATACTCTCTTGATCTGAATCTAAACAAGTTTGTATTAAGTCCACATATTCTCTGAGTTAATCGATCATGCACCTGAATATTTTGGCTGATTTGTATCCAGTGCATAATTCTCTGCCAAGCTTTTCCCAAACATGCTCATTAAAGGAACCCTCTTTGGGAAACAGTGGGCAAATCTCCAGTAACACTTCTAAAAATTGTGCCAGCTGAACGTTGTTTACTGKATTCCCTCTTTGCCTTAGCATAGTTTTAAGTATTGTGAGAAAGAATTCACTCTCTTTAGAATTAGTTCCCCATGTTTAACACCAAGCTATTAAAAACTCCCCACTCCATCCTCTCTTTAAATTGACTAATTCGAGTGTCTCCTGATTTGAGGGGCAGCCAAGCTCACCTGAAATTTCTCTCTCTGAATACCTAGCCAGTGGTCTAGGTTCAGGCACCAGATCTTGCTCCATCATGCACAGTGAGTGAACAGTGAGTGAGCAGTTAATTGCTTTCAGGCTGTGAGCTGGCTAAGAAAATAAAGGTCAGAAATAATAAAGACAAAAGCATGAAAATAGTTTAAAAAGCAGGACTCTGTAGGTTGTTCAACCCAAGGGTCCAACCCCTAACAAAGAAGAAAAACACATGTTCTTTATTATATATGAAAAATGTTAAAAGGATTTATTGTGAAAGAAAACTTCTTCAAGGCAAACAAAAAGCAAAGTTGAGCAGGAACAGGCTAATTGGAGCTCACCTACTTGCATAATATCATCTCTAGGCTTGGTATAGCTGGCACCACAAGGCTACTGAGCACACCCATATTTCTTCCACCGCAGGAGAGCAGGCATCTGAATTCAAAGCTATCTAATCCATAAATTCCACATCAGGCATGGACTCTACCTCATTAAGAGCAGCTACCTGCAAATGGGCATGTCTTTCAGCATCATTGCACTGAAACATTCCCAGAAGCAGCAGACTCCAAGTCCAGGCTCTAGAGATTCAAACAGTGATTTATTTGCTGCTCCTGTTGCTTGACTACAAAACATTCTAAACAAAATATTCAACGAAGATGGAATGAAAAAAAAAGTAGGGGAAAAACCAACAAAGAGAGGAACTACATAAAGAAAGTCAATCAAAAGAGAAACTAATAC